TGGAAGATCTCCTCTCTAAGGTCGGCAGGGATTACCAGCAGCCATGGCGAGCTGTTGTCTCCGAAGTTCTCCTTATAGAGTATACCTTATCGAACGACGAAGGTCGGCAGGGCTCTCGAGAAGACACGGGGGATGGTAACCACTCGTCCTTCAAAGTGCTCGATCAGCGCGCGCAACTCAGGATCGTCTCTTTGACGTCGCGCCATGTTGTCGGTGTTCACTGCGCCTAAGAAGCAGTCGTCGTAATCGTCGTCGCTACTACCGGGAGATGTCTCAACAGGAGCTCTGGACAGGCAATCGGCGTCGCGGTGCTTGCGGCCTGACTTGTAGACCACAGTCATGTAGAACTCCCGCAGTCGGAGGCTCCATCGAGCGAGACGTCCTGACGGGTCCCTTAGGCTCGCAAGAGAGCAGAGTGAGTGGTGGTCCGTGACAACGCGAAAAGGGCTCCCGTATAAGTACGGGCGCAACTTCGTGATTGCCCAGACGACCGCAAGACATTCCTTTTTAGTCGTGGAGTAATTTTTCTCCGCTTTGGACAGTGTTCAACTTGTGTAGGCGATGACTCGCTCGGTGCCTTTTTGCACTTGAACCAGTACTGCGCCAGGTCCTTCGTTACTTGCATCCGTATGAATCTCGGTTTCCGACTATTGATCGAAGTGTTCAAGAACAGGAGGAGTGTGGAGTTGTTGTTTCAGCTCGTCAAATACCTGCTGCTGCTCCTCGGCCCATTCGAACTTCTCGGCGTCCTTCGTGAATTTAGTGAGCGGTGCGGAAATCCTTGCGAAATCCCGCACGAAGCGTCGATAGTAGGCGCAAAGTCCAAGGAATCTTCGCACAGCCTTCTTGTCTGTTGACGCTGGAAATGCCGCGACAGCGCCAGTCTTCTCGGGGTCTGGACGGACGCCTTCGTTACTAACCACGTGACCAAGGAATTTCAGTTCGTCATAGGCGAACCGACACTTTGACTGCTTGAGGGTGAGCCCGGCGGTCATTATAGCTTGGAGAACAGCTCGAAGTCGTCGCAAGTGCTCTTCGAAGTCACTTGAAAACACCACGACGTCGTCGAGGGAGACGAGACAGCTCTAGCACTTCAGTCCTGCCAGTACAGTGTCCATGACACGCTGGAAAGTTGCTGGCGCCGTGCATAGTCCGAAGGGCATCACCTTGAACTCGTACAATCCATCCGGCGCGACGAAAGCTGTCTTTTCCCGGGCCCGTTCGTCGACTTCGATCTGCCAGTAGCCGCTCTTCAGGTACATCGATGAAAAACATCGAGAGTGGCGCAGCCGGCCTAGCGTGTCATCGATGCGGGGAGTGGATAGACGTCTTTCTTCGTTACGGCGTTCAGCTGCCGGTATTCCACGCAGAACCTAAGCGTTCCGTCCTTCTTCTTAACCAGCACGACTAAAGAGGCCCACGGACTGCTTGAAGGCTAAATCATGTCGTCGATCAGCATTTCTTGCACTCGCTCTTCGATGACCTTCCTTTCTTTTAGGGAGGCTCGGTACGGCGATCGGTGCACAGGGAGTGCGTCGTCATCGGTAACGATGCGATATTTCGCAGCGGCGGTTTGGCGCAACCTCGATGACGCCGCGAAGCAGCCGCTGTATTCGGCGAGGAGGTCACTCAGCTGCCGTCGTTTCGGGCCTGGAAGCTTGGGGTCAATGTCGAGCATCGCTGGCGGCGTAGTGTCTTGCTGAGGTGGGGATAGTACTTCAGCAATCACGGCGATTTCGGCGGAGTTCCGAAGTTTCTCGACGTGGCCCACAGCAGCACATTTTGTGAGATGTTGCGTTTCTTGTCGGAAGTTCGTCACGAGGGCCACGGCGCGCCCATCCTGAAGTTCGGCCACTCCTCTTGCGTCGCCTATTCCTCTTCCCAGAAGCAATTATAGGTTGCCTTTCAGAACAACTTCGCAGCAGGTCGCTTCATCGGTCACGACGGGTACGACAACACTTGATCGCGGCGGCAGGTTCACGTGGTCGGCAGCGACTCGGACGGCGGCTGACGCTGTTTGGGCTTTCTCCGAAGTCGGAACCGGCTTGCGCAGCGTCAATTTGTTCTCACCAAGGTCGACGACGGCGCCGTGTTCACACAGGAGGTCCATGCCGAGGATGACGTCTCTGGAGCAGTCTTGTAGAATGACGAACTTCACAGGATACGTCTCACCGTGGATCTCAACGCGAGCAGTGCATCTCCCGACTGGTGTAATGAGGTGTCGTCCGGCGGTTCGTATTTGAGGTCCATCCTACGGCGTCGTGACTTTTCGAAGGCGGCGAGAGAGCCTCCCACTCATGACTGAGTAGTCTGCTCCGGTGTCCACAAGTGCCGATGCGTCGTGGCCGCCGATGACGACGTTTAGGTCGTTGGACACTGTTGCGGGCGCGTCGTTGTGATGCGTGGCGTCGAGAGAGTGGGAGCGCTCCGGCGTTCTTGGAGGCTCTTTACTTCGGTCATCTTCGGCAACGCCACCTCCAGGCGTTGCCGCACTTAGTTTTTCCGACGGGACAGGGGGGACAGGCTGTCACGGCGCGACCAACGGAAAGGCGATGCGGAACGTCTGGGGGATGGAGAACGGGAACCTCGTGGTGCCGTTGGCGCTGGTGACGGATGGCAACGGAGGTATTCCTCGATGTCCCTTGGTCGTTCTCCAAACCGAGGTCGACGGTCGTTTGGCGCGAATCCTCGTAGGCCGAGCTGACCACGTTTACCTCCGGTAAACATGGTCAGCGTCCCCGCAGTGGAAGCACACCGGACGTCCGTCATCCGTGCACCACACGTCCGTCTTTCGAGGTCCACGCTGCTCTTGGCGCGGAGCGTACTGCGGCAAAGAGACCTCTCGTCAGGGTGCAGCTGAGTACTGCCAGGTGACAGGAGGCTGCGGACGACGAACAACTGCGTTGTAGGTTAAAGCTGGTGGTTCCGGTGCGGCGTCGGCGAGAACGTCTGGCTGGAGCGCTTGCTGGACCTCTTCTCGAACAATCTCGGCGATCGAGAGTGAAGCTGGACGTTCGGCGGCAGGTACCAGATTCTTCAGTTCTTCGCGGATCGTATCCCGGACAATTTCTCGGATCCCCGGAATATTGGGGCGGAGGGCGCAGCTTGGCGGCGTGGGTGCAGCGACGCCAGGAGCTAGATGGAAGTGAGCGGCTCGTGCTTGCAGGGCCCATTCAATGTTGATCGCCTCTGTTACAAACGTTTCGATGGTTGTGGGTTGACATCGCACCAAGCCCCCGAAGATGCTCTCTTTCACACCTCACATCAGGATTCTCAGTGTCTTTGCTTCGGAGACTTGAGGTTCGGCGCGGTTGCTGAGTCGAAGAACATCTTCTTCAAAGCTAACGACGCTCTCGTTAGGGCCTTGGATTCTCGCTTAAAAAAGTTCTTCGGCGCGTTCTTTCCGCTGTTGGTTGGCGAACGTACCTCGGAGCTCAGTCTTCAGGTGCTCCCAGGAGATGAGTGACGCTTCGTTGTTTTCAAACCAATTCCGTGCTGTGGCCTCCAAAACGAAGTAAACGTTTTGAAGGCACTGCTCCGGCGTCCATCGTTATGACGGGCCACTCGTTCGTAATGTTGCAGCCACTCTTCTACGTTCTCGTGGGCTTCGCCGTAAAAGGGCGTCGGAGTGCGTGGAGCGACGTGCAGGTACAAGACGACGGCGGCCGGGGTCTGCGACTGGTTGGCCATCGTCGTCTACTTTGGCTTGGGCTTGTCCAGCAGCAGACCCAATTCAGGGGACTAACCTCTGATGCGACGGCTTCTTCGGGCTTCGGTGTCTTCGGCGAAGGGTAGCCTTCCAGGGCTGAGCACGTCGCTTGGCCGGGATGTCTTCGGAGGGGTACGCTCAAGGGGCATAGAATGCACTACCCCGCACCTCCACCAAAATGTCACGAATGACAATTGATGAGGCGATGATAACTGAAGAAACTTAACGTTTAATGGGGCGAACTTGTGCCCCAAACAAAAAGGGAACAGAAGAAAACCGCAGAGCGTCGCGGGCGTCGATGTCGGCGAAACCGCAGGATCGAGCGCTGGGGTGAGACTAGCTCCGGCATGCCACGCGGAGCCCCATTTGTACACGCGTGGGCTCCTGGAACATTCGGCCTAGAACGTTCGGCTCGTAGAATATTCGTAACTGGATCGGACGAGAAGGTTCTCGAACTTACGAGAGCGCCACGTAGATGAAGGAGCTTCCGCTCCTTGGAATCGAACCCGGATCCCTCGCGCGACAGTCAAGCACGCTAACCACTCGGCCACGCACGCACCCGCTCGGCAACGCGCGGGGCAATATAAGGAATGGTTTATTACATTTTCATCTGAGGTAGAAAAAATATGTATAGGACAAACTGGAAGACGTGTAGATGACAGTTTAAGAAAGCACAACATAAAAACGCAAATTTTAGACATCTAGGCATCCATGGCCTTAACTGCGGATACTCAACAGGCTTAAAAATCTGCACTTCTATCAGCAAATACTTTCAACAGCTGACGCGCGAAATGATTGAGTCGGAAAAAATAGTGAAGCTTGACGAAAATTGTATTAGCAATGCTTCTATAGCTTGATTCAAGAAAGAGTTTTTTTGCGTAGCCACTAAGAGAAAATATTAAAGTGTGGTAGATGTGCAAACGGCTTAGAAGATGTCCAAATACAACACTGAGTTGATAGTCAGCGCTGAATGAGTGATTCCTTTTTACTGTTGTGCGTATTTCAGTGTGAATTTTTTCTCTGCGCTGTAGATTATAAGTATGAATAGTCAACTCGCGGAATCCTTCATCTCATGAAATCCTTTGTTTCTTTGGTAGAAATCTATAGTCAAGCTCTGAGTCTGGGAATATACTGCGTAATTTTACATTTCTACTGCTTCTTTTAGAAGCAGAAATCTGTTTTGTTTGGCATAAACAGATAAATGAACAAAGAACACCTAAATAAACAAAAAAGTTCTTTTTTAGTCGCAAGAAATAAAGTTTTGTTTTGCATTTTTCCTTGTATTTTGTAGAATATAGCAACCGAGTGCAAGCAGCTTTGTTTTGAAGAATCACCTTCTAGGCTAACGTATGTAAGGAAGATGTATAACGTGACAAACGGACTGAAATGCTTGGTAAGAGCTTCGGCTGAACTTGGCTGCTTCAAACTTCAACCTTTTTTTTGCGCGCTTTTGTAGTGCAGCGCTTCATTTGTGATTAGTGCTTTTTAACATATTAGATTTTCATACGATGACTGAGATATACAACTATTTTGGATGTCAGGCCGGTTACAGGGTACTACTTTTTACAAGAAGAGTCACAAATCTCCTGAATATTTTAGCTAAAAGATTCAGGATTCACTTAATACTGTATGAGCGCCTCGGCGCAAACAACTGCAGCTGTTGAACGTGAGGCGGCAAAGCGCGATCGGTGACACTTGAAGTGCTTTGACATAATGCCGGTTCAAAGGAGTTGTCTGAGGTCGTCGCATCGCAGATCGCCACGTTTGTCTTTGACAATAAAATGGTGACGACGTCTTTTAGAACCAGTTGCGTTCTCTCATCCACGGAAAATACACCAACTTTTTATTTAAATATATCCGTAAACAACCAAGGCTAACCAAAACAGAACTTATTAATTGCAACATAACACACTTCTGGCGTAAAACTAACATTTAAATTTACAAATACATAACTTAAAAAAAATAAGGCTCATTTTTATAAATCAACGCAGCCTTCTCATTTTGGTGTAAAACACAATTTAAATCTCTGATGAAAGTACATAGCTGCTCGTCGAAAGTTGTTTGTGAGAGGGATCCATTGTAAATAATTTATAAGTTTACGTCTATCAAACTTACCAGTGACGATCGCGTCTATTAATGAAACGTGTTTATATTTCCATACCTTTTTACTTTCTCAAAAGTAAAGCCCTACAGGGAGTAAGATATGGTTTTGGTAATGGTATATCAGCGAAACTGGAACACATGTCGCAACACTAAACCTTTGATGTATCATGCCATGGTTTGTAGTGTCGGACTTTCAGCCAGTTTAAACAAATTAGGGCAAGCTAAGCGCCATAAGAACAAAGATGACGAGGATTTTTTTTTGGAATCAATTTCTGAAGTTTGTCATATAGTTAACATTCCTTTGGAAACCTCTATTGTTTTGGAATTCAAAGTTTACCGGAGGAAGCAAAGAAGCTTTTTTCTTACCAAATTAATTTTTGCTAAATTATTTTAGAACTCGATACCAATATTCTTTGATTGACAGAAATAATATTCGAACATATTTGTCAAGCGAGAGAGTTTTTTGATTAAGGTCTTGCAATTGTGTCTTCAGTCCTACACCTATTTCCTGTAGCGCGCGATGCTCGCTCAGTAATCAATGGTGGCATTCCTTTGATGAACTTAATCAACCATATATACTTTTATATCAATCATAATCAATTAATTAAAAAGAAATAGCCGGCTATTTTTGCTAGGTAGCATATAGACTGCTGCTCTTACTCTGTGGTCAGTGGCGCTTGGTGTATAGAACGGGCTGTTTATGCGGAGGTAGCTGTTGTGGTTGAGCATAGCGACGAGAAACCTTTGAGTTAGAGGGGTAAAGGGCGCAGAAGAAAAAAGACGTTGATTGCGTCTCGAACCTTAATTTGTCCGCCATCGTCCTTTCAGAGTAGTCTTGAGGCTAAGCTTATTGCATTCGCAATGAACTATCAAAATAGTGCTCATATGTGGCAAAATTAACCTAGGTATTCTAAATAAAAGAGTTTGTGGCTGATGCTACAATAAATTTTGATAAATGAGCACATAGGAGCTAAATCTAGTGAGGTAAAGTTTAAGATAAGAGCACTTTGTGTTTTGCTTTTTTTTTTTGCTTATCAAACTTCAACCAGTGCAGTATCACGGGGCGCGAAATAACAATAATAAATTAATTTTTGGTAAAAATACGATGGAAAACTTTTAGTTACGTTGGTTAACTACTTGTGCAGCAAAATATTTAGTGTAATTAAATTACCCTCATCCAATTTCTCAGGTATTTTTGAGCGTGATTCACTTATTTGACTAAAATATGTAATTTTTAGCGTAATGACATCATACTAAAAGCACCAGCAAAGGTAAAAAAAAAAATTAAATACGATTTGTAACGTGTAAGATAATTCTCTGGGATTCACTTACAGGGAAGACACCAGGTTCTTTTATGCCGGAGTCCGATTAGAGTGACAAGCGACAGCGACAAGCCTCAAATCAGAGTCTTTCGTGGTTTGACAGGCTTTGTAGAATAAAGAGTGCTATGCTCAAAGACGATAATCATGCACGCGAGGGTACCTTTGGTAGGCTTGCAATCACTCGCGCTTACTTCACGAGCACAAGGGTGCCTCAATGTCCTTTTGTTTAGGGTGATGCCACCTTTTGTAGTGTACCCGATGCCGACAGCATGCGCTCACGGGTAAAATACAAAGAAATCGACGAAAACGAAATGTCGACATAGAATGATCAGCGTTACAAACGCGTGCAGGGACAGGCTCTTTCACGCGCTTCTGAACAAAAATAAAAATAAAAGTGCGGGACAAAATGGACAGATGTTTTCACTCTAAGCAAAGCGCACATGAAGGCACCCTAACGAGCACCGAACGACTAAACGCCTGACAAAAGCACAATCGCAAGCATGTTTTTTTTTTAATTTTTTTAGGCTTGTTCGTGTCGGTTATTTCTTTTTGTCGCTTTAGTGGGACTCGGGCATTAGCAAACCGTTACCGTTTACTGTGAACCGCACTACCCGAGCCTTTGAAGCATATTTTTAAGCGCGCACCCGGGTGATACCGTGACCGCGGGGGGCTCGCTTAAAAGCATGCTTCAAAGGCTCCAGTAGTGCGGTACGCTGAACCATAGCCTCCTCTATCCTCACAAAGCTTGGCAGTTCGATGACGGAGCCAGAGAGTGCCCGGTCGCAGATTTGGAGCGCGACGATCTGGTAGCACAGAGCATTACTCGGGGAGTCTGGTATTCAGCGCACAGCTTTTGCAGCGGCGAGGACCCGAAACATGATTTGCAAACCTGTCGAGAATAGAAGCGGTAGCTCGAGGAACGCGAGAAGCACGGGCGGAGATTGCGTCGCTTGGGACAAGTGTGTTTCGGCGTCTCACCACAGCGGGACGCCCGTTACGTTACATGACTCTTGTCCGCCGCTCTACCTTTTTGACTATCGGCGGCCGCGTCTCGTGGCGATCTGCCAGGCTTTGTCAGTAGGAGGTTACGGCTGAACACGCGTGTAACGGTTTGCTAAAGGTCCCTATAGATGGGTGTCTGTCTCGTATCCGCGTTCGGTAGCGCGTGTGCATCGCATTTGGTAGTGCACTATTAAGCACGTTTACCAGGCAGTGGGTGAATCAGTCCGTGGCATCACAGTTTCTTGATCCTACAGGAGCAACAAAGAATGTATGACAAATTGTTAGGAAATTTTGTTGGATGCGTGAAACGTTCTAGCATCATAAGCGTTTAGAGATAGCTGCACCTCGTTGCTGCATCGATATGAAATCGGTGTCACGTGATGTCTATTTCTCTCTAAATTTGGCGGGGAAGCTGAATTGATGTCTAGGTCACTTGACATCAGGTCACGTGACATGACTTACTCTGCTAAACTAAGCGAGGAAACTGAATTTATATGTTGGTCAAGGAACGTAATGTTTTCCGCTAAATCTAGTGGGGAGACGGTACTGGTGTTGAGGTCCCCCGACGTCAATTGTTCCGCTCAATCTAGCGGCGAAATTTAATCCGGCTTCACGAAATCCGGGGAAATTAGCCACATGGAATGGAGTCACGTGACATTATTTTCCCCGCTAAGTCGAGCGGGGAAATTTAGTTGACGCTGAGTCACGTGACGTCAATAATTTCCCGCTAAATCTAGCGGAGAAACTGAATTTATGTATAGGTCACGTGATATCATCATGTCACTTGACGTCCATTTTCCCGCTAAATTTAGCGTGGAAATTTAATTTTGTGTAAAGCTCGAGTGAGATGACGTAATGTGACATCTATTTGTAACACTGCAAGTGCTAAATTAATTTATGGGACATCACAGACGTATACACCATTTCAACTTCCCCGCTAAACTTAGCGGAGAAACTAAATTGGTGTGTAGGTTTGTGACGTCCCACAATGCAACTCTGAGCGCGTTGCATTAGGGGACGTCACAAACATACGCACCAATTCAACTTCCCCGCTAAATTTAGCAGAGAAACTGCATCGGTATGTTGGTTCGTGATGTCTTATAATGCCACACTGCGCCCGTTGCATTATGGGCTCATTTAGTGTTGAGGTCATGTGACCTTAATTTTCCCGCTAAATCTAGCGTGGAACTTAATCTTGCTTCACTTAATCCGGCTTCACGAAATTCGGAACAACTAGCCAACGAACGTTTGGCGTTAATATAAATGGAATCAACTCATATTTAATAACAAAATTGTTAAAGTGCAGGCGTGCTAGTGTTAAGTTAAGCATGATGTTTGAAAGCAAAAATTGTGAATGAAAAACGAAAAAAAAAAAACTCAATAAGAAAAAAAGGAATGGTCTGCGACTTGAAGACGTAGACAAGCGCACTAAAGTCGTAGCACTTGGTATTATGCATTTGCATCCTATATTTAAGTACGTTATTTTAACAACGCGCTACCATTACCAAACAGAATTTGAACTACGCCTTGAGAAAAGATTTCAGCGCTCAGTGTGTGTACTTCTTCCTGCCCGTGTCTTTTTGCGCTGTTTTACCCTTTTAAAACGCATCACCAATTCGCCCAACTCACCACCGTAAGACTTCTGAGAAACACAGATTGGCTTTCTTACAAAGAATGCATGGAGTCTATATGAAACGTGGCTGATCACTTTTTTTATATTTATCATACATTAAACGGTGTAACGGACGAATTTCTGGCCTACTATCCTAGCTCATGCTTGAGATTCCTTTATTATTAATAACGTTGTATTTATATTCGGTTGCACATTTCGTACGGTTATAAGAACTACCTTTGAGAATTGTGTTTCTTTATTGCATGAACAATTGAGTGAACCTGTCTTTGTATGAATCTCATTTTGTACGCTTTGTATCAACAAAAACAAATTGTTGTGTGTATGTTTACACAACCGGAAGTTAGTCTGCCTTAGTGGGCGTCTGGTGTCTCAGCTGTAGATGAGCAATTTAGCTACTGCGGTACAACCACTAGACTGGGGTCCTTCACGTGCCCCACGCAGTAGTGATACACGACCGCACGCTGGTACGATGCTCATCCGGATCGATACGGGCAGGGGTGGCGACTGAACCCAAGATCCCTGGGTTCTTCAGCGCGAGTGCTCTGAGCTGGTGTGCGCTGGACCGCTCAGACACCGATCCCCCCCTTTGTATCAACAAATATATGTGATTTAATGTTTTGTTGTGGCGATACCATATTGTTAAATAACAGATTGCTCTAGCGGAGTAGTTTGTAATATTTACGTTATGTGCACGAAGCACTTTTTACGTTCTAGATAGATAACATATTTTGAATTTATATTTATTTTTTAACGCGAATAGACAATTGCAAGCTTAGCACCCCGACTGGTATCTCATGGGTACCAGCTCACGAAGTGTGCGCGTAAACGTGCCCTTGACAGGCTTTCAATTTCATGTGCTTGCCCGCACGTGCAGAGACATGGCGCAGCGTCCATATGCCCTGCTACAATCGTCTATACGGTGTTGAATAAAATTGTATTTCTTACAACTGCCGGGTCTCGTCAGACAAGCCTTAAGCTGGGGTCCCACTGCTCATACATCATACAAAAGATAGGCTGCATACAAATTGAAACATGAGTCACCGCGAGATCCGTGCTTCGAATGGCGCATGGCAATGGCTTCGAGGAGAATCTTGGCACGCAGCATTCGAACCAGGATACTGCGGTGACTCGTGTTTGTAGACTGTTGTTTGTATGAGATATGAGCTGAGCAGTGTGACCCCGGCTTTACAGGTTTTTACGTGCTAGGTCATTTGTATTGAAAAAAATACACAAATAAAATTATAATATTAAAAAGCGCCTCCGATTAAATCACACAAGCACAACATAGCTATTGTAAAAACCAACGCATCCCGATAATGCCAACGCTGCGTCTTCTGTTGTGAGAGTGAAGATAAAGATGTCAGTTTTTTTTTATGAACTTTTACTAAAGGTTTTAGTGAATATTTTAAGAGAATATGATACTCTCCAACCTAAATGTTGCGATAGGGATAATGATCTCTGGAGAAGGGGAACAAGGGGGGCAAAGGACAAACACAAATCTTTAAACACAGCTAGGTGACTGGTGGGCGACTGCATAAATTTGTCTGGGCCTGGAATCGAACCAAAGACCGGCCACCTAGCTGTGTTAGGGAGTTTGTGTTTTTCCTTTGTCTCCCTCTTTCTCCTTCTTCAGGGATTATTTTCGTTATTCTGGTCCAGTTCGCTTCCAGCTTTGCATTAATTGCATTATCATCATAACCTAAAAATGCAAGCCGCTCACCCTTGTTTGTGTTAGATTGGCGGCAACTGCTTAAACCCGTTTGCGCTACCGACGTCTAATTCCTGATTAGCTCGATTGGTAGAACGCTCCACTAGAAATGCAGAAGTTCCTGGTTAGATACCAGGGCCAGGCGAATTTTTTCCGTTACGTACCCGTCACCTAGCTGTGTTTGAAAATTTTTGTTCATCCTTTGTTTCCCTTTGTTCCTCCTCTCCAGGGAATATTATCGTTATTCTTGTCCGGATCGCTTGCCCCTTTGCATTAATTGTATTATCGCCATAACCTTAAAATGCAGGCCGTTCAACCTTGTTGGTGTTAGACTGGCGGCAGCTGTTAAAACCCGCGTGCTCTACTGACGTCTAACTCCTGGTTAGCTCAGTTGACTGAGGGCTTCTCTAGGAATGGTAAGGTGCCTGGTTTGATACCAGGACTAGGCAGGTCACCTAGCTGTGTTTGAAGACTTCTGTTTGTCTTTTGTCCCCCTTGTTACACTTCTCCAGAGATTATTCTCGCTATTGTGGGCCAGCTCGCTTGCACCTATATGCATTAAGTGTCTTATCATTAAATATTGCTCTGTTCGGAAGGGCCACAGGTCCCACTCTTCGGGGATTACTCGGGGAGCCAGATTATACAGACCCCTGAGGGATCTTGGCGAAAGATGAGTGAAAAATCTATCTGGTTCTAGTTAAGAATGTGATGCCGCGCTGAGCATGATGTATCAATTTTTAGTCCTCTTCAGACTTCATTATTTGACCCAAATTGCATGCGTTTCTTGTTATTTGCCTAGCTTCTTCGCAGATTGCAATGGATAATATCCGCGAGAACGGGAAAATAGAGGTTACTCCCCATTAAATTCCCTTAGTCAAATTCACGCTTTCACAAAATTCACACTTTTACAAATGCCGAGAAACATTCTTGCCCGAAGCCTTGATACACATGAAGCGAGCGGGACATGTGCCACCATTGGCTCTAGAGAACCGCTGCATTGGAGCAGAACCGTAAAAGAAAATGTTGCTGGCATGTTAACCAAAAATTATCAGTCCCATGAAGATCTACAATACACTAATATAGATAGCTGCGACACCATATCGGACCCTCATGTATCCTTCTGTATCTCATACCGCGGTCGGCAGCTTGAGTAAAGTAGCCCTTCACCAATGTCTGCTCGGAGAAAAGCACACTAATTTATTTTATACTCACATAAGCATTCTAACGAACGCTGTGTAAGATTCAGGTATAACTATCTGACACTCAACCCAACTGCTGCGATCTAGCGGGCGCTGTGGGAGATTCATATGTGCAGCTTTTTACAACGCATTATGTTTATTAGGTAGAAAGTTGAAGCCGGTGGTATTGCTCTGTGGTAGCGCGCACACTTCTCAATCAGCGGACCAGTAATAAAATCCTGTGAAAACCGCGGTGGTCGGGGTTCCTCTTTTTCAAGCAATTCGCTATATCAACTGACGAACGCCCCACATAATTTTAAGGGGGGGGGGGGGGGGAGGGAAGAAGCCTATAGCCCCTAGGGATGTCAAATATAATCAAACCTTCGCCCAGTCAAAGTCCTTCAATACGCTACCAGTCACAAAACATCTGCCAGAGTTTGGTACAGGGTCAAACGCTGCCGCAAGGTGCGCCAGCGCCCTTAAAAAGCCCTTGAAAAAAAAAAGTTTTTTTGTAACAGTCTAATTGGGACACACGTGTCGAAAAATAAATTTTAAACGAAAAAAATATTTTTAGAGCAATATTTACGGCGCGAGATTTATTTTAAATTCTGCGTGCAGTCCATGACGTCACGGAATAGCCATACACTCTTTCAGTCTCAACGAGATGGTCATACACTTTCTACAACTCAACGTGATGTCGAAGCCGATTTACCTCCCCTCCATGAGCCCGAAATGCCGGAAGAGAAAACAAGTGGTAAGGAGGTGACTCTCGACTAAATCGCGTCTCGCGCCGTCAAGATTGCTCTAAATATTTTTTTCGCGCAAAAATAATTTTGCGTTACGGGTGTCTCATCCAGACTGTTAAAAAAAACACGTTTTTTCTTTTCTGTGACCCTTAAGGGGGAATTTTTGTTTGGCCACTCCACACTGAGTAAGCCACTTTACGTTTATGATTACAAGTAGATACGAAAAAAACTATTTTGTATACACCGATATCTGGTTATGCCTGTAGATGATTACTGTATAGAGGTAGCGGTGATTCTTTATTAATCTCTAACAACAAAACTTAACTACATATAGGCTTTTCAACACAGAATGCCTTTATGTACAAGGTTTTACGCGAAACGTGTCACGCGCGAGTGTGACAAGTAAGCATTACACGCAGGCCAAGGCAACATGAAGCATGCGTAGATCTTACAAGGCTATGCGTAAGCATCCTTAGCAGACATTGATATTCATAATTATTTATACAGAATAATACGACTATGTACCAATCATAGCAACCTGAAAATTTTTTCAAGGGACTCAGTGGGAATCAAACCCCCCGACCACGCGCCACATGAATTTTTTTTATTTTTTTTATTGAGGTATTTCAAGGAGGAGATGAAAGGGAGTGCAAGCAGTTTGACTAAGTGTGACTGGCCGCCGACGTTCGCCAGCTGTAGCATCGAACTCTTCGCGGCGAGTGATACTTAGTTCAAATGATACTTCTCTTTTTTTGTTAGTGAGTAACAAGAGTATTAGCGAAAACATATGTTTTAGCATCTGATAAATTACAGATTTGTACAACAGTTTTATATCATCTTAAGACTTTTCATACTGTTTAGATAGCTCGTGTTTTATCAGTGAGTAAACATGTTATTCGCGAAAATCGAATACATGCCAATTCTCAACAACCATCCTGCCAGAAGTAGTATTGGGCGTTGACCAAAAATTTAAGAGGAAAAGAATCGGTTGCACTTAGCTATTCACCAGAACTAGACGTGTTGTGTGGTTCGATAGGATCTAAAATATTTATTGTATGCTGAAATTATTGCTCCCAAAAAAACGTGTAATTGTAGGATTATGCATCGTATAAATAAACTCCGGATCTAATTTTTCTGTGCGTAAATGTTTACCCAGGCACAAAATTTGGTTTTTTGTTATAAATGTATGTTAGCACATGTTTTTACATTGTTTTCTAGGATGACAAAAAACGCAAAGTTGGGACGTGCCAAAATGGGACATGCAGTGGTGAATGTGAGTAGCTATATAATATATTTATTTATTTATTTAAACGTTAACTCAGGACCCGAAGGCATTACAGAGGGGAGCGGGTTACATCAGTAGAATTCAACAACATACAATAAATAACAACCTATGAATGCAAAACAATATGTACATATTAGTGAAACGCTGAAATGTGAACATTGTTAAGGCAATTTTTGAAAGCAACGCTGTCAGATATTGATACCACAGACGCTGGAAGGTGGTTCCACAACACTGTGGTTCGGGGTATGAATGAATTGTGAAAAGTAGTAGTGTTACATGAAGGTACACCCATCTTGAGTTGGTGATCAAGACGTGGTGATATGTAAAAAGGAGATTATAATAACTTGTCACGCAAAGTATGATTGTGGTACTAGATTTTATGAAACAGGCACAAACGGAAAACTTCTCTACGCGATGCAAGATTAGGCAGGTTCAAACCTGATTTCATGGATGTTACGCTGGCAGTGTGGTAATAATTAGTAAGTATGAATCGGGCGGATCTATTTTGAATTGCTTCAACTGCAGATGTTAATATGTCAGTACCGGGGTCCCAAATTGAAGAGGCATATTCTAGTTTGGTGCGAAAAAGCGTTTTGTAGAGAAGTAGTTTAAGCGATAAGGGGGCTGCTGAAAAATTTCGTTTTATGAAACCCAGCATACGATTGGCGTTACTTGTTACGTATTGAATATGAGTTTCCCAGGACAGATTGGATGAAATATGAACTCCCAAATATTTGTAGGTTGTTACTTGTCTTAAAGGAGTATGGTTCAGGTAATAACAAGAGACATCACTGTGAAGCCGAGAAACCCTCATTACCTTACATTTGTTAGTGTTAAGCTGCATACGCCATAAGTCACACCATTCAGATACACGGTCAAGGTCACACTGAAGAGAAGAAACATCGGATTTGTTAGTCACTTCACGATATATAACACAGTCGTCAGCAAACAAGCTAATTGAAGGTGAAACACAGGATGACAATCATTACAATACATGCATGGAGTCATTACAATGTCATGACTCCATGCATGAAAATACATCACTCGATTCATGAAAGAGTGCGAGATGAAAGATCGAAGTTATGAGGATTGAAAATCAACAGACAAACGCAGAGAATATCAGGTGCTTTTCTGACAAATTCAAATTAAATAAATATATTAAAGATTTATGTTCAGACTTTTGAAGTTTGAAGCAAAATTACAGCAGCGTAAGAACTTGAAGGCCCGCTCCATATATTTAGAGGACGCTTTTATAACACATAGAGCACGTTACAGGGCGCCTGAACATTGCGGGCACAAAAGAAATGTTATCACATGGAAAGACCAAAAAGACACGGATCTTAAGAAATTTATTTAAAGTTATAACAGCCGTTAAATTTAAGTCATTGCGCAGGCGTGCTGCTATTAAACGACCATTCTGAAAAACACCCAAGTCGAAAGAAACAAAAAGGGATACCCCGAGAAAAAGCTCACTCTCTTGTTCTTCTTTTGTGCCCTTCGACTTATTTTTTTTGCACTATAACTATGAGCCACAGATGTCATGACAAAATAATTGGTAGAATGAGGTTTTCTAATCCATAACCCTATTAGGAGTAGATAAGCAGATTCAGTTTTACAGTATTATGGTCGAGAGATGACCCTAAATGGCAGTTGTAACCATTTTTCATGCAGTCAATATAGTTTTATGGAATATAAAACCTTGGAAACTGAGAAGTTAGTTCTTATTCCGTTTTCACTCTAAATAAAGCCCGTGTGTCTAATTTCCCGCACAACTTTCGGAGAGCAAATCACCGGAACTTACGGAGGCAGCTCAGCGAATGACGATGCCGAAACATATGTTTAGACCAAAACACGCTGTCTGAGTTGTGACATTAAGCAATGCAACCGTGACGTTTTGCATTGTTTAATGTCACAACTCAGACTACGTTTTTTGGTCTAAACATATGTTTCGGCATCGTCATTCGCTGAGATGCCTCCGTAAGTCTCGGTGATTGGCTCTCCGAGTGTTGTGCGGGAAAGTAAACGCACGGCCTTTTCTTAGAGTGTTGTAGCTACATTCGTCAATGCAGCTCTAAAGCCTTATTCACACGGACGGTTGAACCGCGTTCGCGAAGCGGTTGCGAACGCAGTTGCTTAATGATTCAGTGCAGTTTCACGCGCATTTGATGATGAAAACGAGCGGATCCGCTCGTTTTCATCATCAAACGAGCGGGTGCGATTCGAACGCCAGTGTGAATACAGCATAAACGCAGTAAGAAAAAAAAAAGGCGTATCGATCCCATTGTCGGTTGTTTTTAGAAAGGGTGCGAACCAAGAACTCCTCCCCAAAGAAGTAAAATATTGAAACGTTTTACATGGATGTCCGAATACTCCCGGGCGGATATCAGCCGGCGATGTTTTGCTTAATATATATATTTTTGAATATATTAAGCTACAATTATGTTAATGTATGCACAGAGACGAAAACAATGGCGTTACTTTCCTATCCAGTGACTTTAGGTTGCCCGAATGCCGCAGCTGTTCTGACGCTCGACACAAAGCGTATCACACATCTTGACGTAGAGAGCTCTGTAGCAGGGACTCTACAGGTTCTCCCCCTCCCCCCTTTGTCTTAGATTATGTGTCTTTTTTGTGCTAGGCATTGTCTGGAAGCTTTGCTGTTGCAGAATCGAAAGAGGAGAAACAGGCTGGTTTGAGTCTGTCGACTAAAACCATCCCAGGATTCCCTCAGAGTAGCACAGTGTAAAATTTGGGTGATCTATTGACGACAAGGAACGGTCCGTCGTATAAGTTATGTAGGGCCTTCCGAGGGACGTTTTTCTGCATAAAAACGTGGGAAGCGTCAACGAGAGCCTGGTGCTGGACATCTTCGATGCGTATTGTTGGCATGACAGTGCTGGGCGAAGCCTGCTGTCACTTACATTGTCACCGAAATCATATTCTGCTAAAGACATCATTATTTGACAAAGTCAGTAGATACAATCTACGTAGCATAAAATTACAATGTAAAAATTATTTACGGAAATGAGGTGTAAAGCTAGCACATTTTTTGAGAAGAGGTGTGTGGGTCTAACGCTTGCCCACAAATTAAATATGCTTTAAGCGTGAACACTCGGGCTAGTAGCTTTGGACAATATGTTCCAATGTTTAATATCTACAGTCCAAAGTTCGCACCTACAGACCATCCCTCAATTAATGGTTCTTATGAATACTAGTAAAGCAGGCAAAACACGCGGCAGTAATAAAGATAATCCAGATAGGAAAATCCTTACTGAAACGGTGTGGCGTGTTTTCAAAATGCGCTTGGTTAATTCACTTTGATTTGGCAGATAATGTCCGTTTATGTATCAAGATTACAGTGAACGATTTTTCGATCCAAAGGACAGGTTTGAGTAATTGTTGCACGATTCGCCTTTTGTTTAAGATTCATGTACATGTATACTATTGAATAAAAATCGCTCGGTGCAATATTGTAGCGAGAATAGAATTTGCTGAATGTTATATTTAGTAAGTATTTTACACAAACGCATTTTTTTTTTAAGACGAACAATCATAAACAAACGCATGTCAAATTTTCTTCATACTCTGTTTATTATAAAGCCGTCTCATGATGAAGTGAATTTGCACAAAATAATGTGACAGATTATAAGCTTTTGCTTAAAGTGAGAGTCACTTAGGCCACACGTTTTCATTGGTATGCTTGTAGATTATTGAGGTACTCAATGCTTATAGGTATTATGAATAAGAATTTAAATATGTGGAAATACTTCCTAATATACGGGTTTAAATTCTGGTCTTTTTTATGGACATGTTTTATAAGCCAAACCAATGAGTACAAAGAGTCGTCTTGTTTAAACTAAGCGCTTTCATGTTCGTTACTTTTAATTTTTGCAAAATATATTGTTTTAAAGGCTAAATATTTTTATCAGAACAAGAATGAGATATAGTGCTAAAGAAACATACGTGATGTCGGTCATATAGGTCTGAGATGAAGCAAGAAGCTACATCCAGTTCCACACCCATCTTAGGAAAATAATACACCGATACAAGAGTAGTCTTTCGGGCGGTTCCAGGAGGACCCACATATTCCCCATTCGTGCGTTATTGAGGTTCGGAATATAAGAAATGGTGGGCAGGCCTTAATAATGCCATAATATTGTTTTTATTTCTCTCAGACAAGGAAGAGGATTGCAAAAGGAAGATGCTGGCCGTTTATTCTAGAGTGAGTCTACTAACCATTGTATTTGTTACACGCGTGAGATAGTCGCTGACGTCATTCCTCACACAACACATGCCCGTAAGAATCACATAAGTAGTCTCACGGCATTGACACACCGCTATAGAAGTAAGCCACTTTTGATATTGTTTATCACGAAACGACGACCCGCCATAATAAAACTGGTAGGGTCACAATACCTTGGCGAGAAAGAAAACTCACAGGAGGTTAGCACGCTGGTGGTCAGCGGCGAAATGTTCACATTAGATAAGCTTGACGCCAAATCGTCCGGTGTGGTATGAGCTCTCCCCTCTTAACAGATGGAGAAAAATGTCAACCCCGAATTTTCTACTTCGCGAGGAAGATGTTGAACACAAAGCTGCACTCCGTTGCATTGCATTACGCACCCTACGATGCACTGAACTGGCCTCATTTTTCGTGGTAACGCATAGCAGTATCTCGTAGAATGCACTCATAAATGGTTGCAATGCAGTTGATAATACCTAAATAGCAAAAGTTTTACCTAGCCTTAACAGGAACCCATCCGAAATCATATCCCGTTTTATAGTATCCTTGACCTACGTAGAAAACTCTCTTCCAAATAAAGACTGAAGAAATGCGCCTGTTTAAAATTCTCGCTTTTACAGAATGAATGGGAGTGGTATGATGAAGCACCAACGCTATATAAAATAGCCTTATCCAGCCGCTGAGTAATCCTACTTGCAGCTCATGAATATCTCTCTGACAAACAAGAAAAAGAAGAATGTGCTGCTAGGAAGATAACAAAAAGAAAAATCTGATGAAGTATGCAAAACTCAATCTGCTCGCTCTCGATGCCGATATTCTTCACAAGGTGTCTTCATAAGATCGATCATCACCGATCTCGATATAAGCGTAAAAGTTTTTGAACACATTCTGTTTGCATTTTCGTTTTCTTTTTGAATACAATTTGGTATTTTTGTACGCGTATTTTTGGTAGATTAGCTAACTCCAGTCTTCCATCATGCTCGTCTATGTGCCTTGATTTTAAGGCATCATTTCACTTTACGATTAAAGTTTATTACAGATCACAATCATAATCTTATTTATTTTATCTTTGACACAGATATCTCATTTTTACTCTGTGCGGTGAAAAACGGCATTATCCTCAAATTCTGCGTATATAACAAAATCATATCGTCTGCTGGTATCACTGGCGTTGGTCAATTCTTTGACAGCCATACGTGAGAGCATAGAACATTTTGAGTCTAGTCGTCATAAACCTCGGTCTCTTGAGAAGCCAGGTGCATCGACCGGAATAATAAACCAACATGAAGATTCACTAGGGAACAAGGGCCAATGACCGCTGATTTGTAATAGCAGGCATTCTTAGTGTGCACCAACGTGCTGAAGTCTTGTATACATGGTGCGACTTTTTTGCGCTTTCGCAAATGCGACGTCTTTCGTTAATTAAAAAAAAAAAAAAAAAAAAAAAACATGGTGGGGATTGCAGGGCCCGACGTCGCAGTTGTAAAATCGCAAGACAAATTGCAGAATGTGAATCGAGGCTCGACGCCTGTCCGAAAATTCGCGCATAAAAGGCATTTTTAGAAGCCATCGCGCTTTGACACCGTGAGTCACGAACATGTTCTTCGTAGACTTCTACGGCTTCAGATACGAGGCCGCATAATGCGCTGTGTACGCAACTTTCTCATGCACAGGAAGATATTTGTGAGCACGAGTGAGGGAAATAGCAAACAACATGAACTCCACCATGGTGTGCCACAAGGCAGCGTGTTAAGCCCCACTTTATTTAATGTAGTCATGGCAGAACTGCCAAGTAAACTTCCTTCACCACTGAATGTGTCCATCTACGCTGATGATATTTGTATATGGGTATCTGGGTCTTCTGAGACCAAACTACAAGAACAATTGCAGTATGGCCTTAATGACACATACAGTTATCTTCGTGAAAGGGGCATGGACATTTCAGTTAAAAAATCTGCATTTCTTCCATTCACTAGAAAGCACCTTAAGAATTTTAAATTGACACTTCAAGGACAACATACTGAAAAGGTGAAGTGGCATCGTTTTCTTGGAGTTACGCTGGACTTCTTCCTCACATGGTCAAGACATATTAACATGCTTGAGGAAAAAATTAACAGAGTCATTAACGTTCTTAGATATGTGGCCGGTGCCAGATGGGGAGGCTCGACTGATGGACTACTGCTATTGCATACAGCTCTAGTACGCCAGACTATCGCATACTCCATTCCTGTTTTACATGGCCTCTCACCAACTCTGGAAAAACGCTTGACATACATGATTGCGCGAAGTTTGCGCATATGCCTTGGACTCCCCCGCGCGACATCTAGTGACCTCGTCATTGCTGAGGCCAAGGAACCTCCAGTACCTGTTCTCCGGGAACAAGAAACATGCCGTCATTATCTTCGACTGGCTTCGCACTCATATGCCCGACCCTTGTGCCAAAAGATATTTCGACGGACGGAGTCTAGCTTTCACCGACTTCTCGTCGCACTACCCGTCGCAGCACCCCATCATGCGCATTGGCTTCCAAGTCTAATCAACCCTCCGTGGACAATTCCGCCACTGGAGATACAGACCGAAATTCCTGGTCTTGGATCAAAATCTGCGGTGGCCCCCCTGGTGGCGAAGACAATGTCCCTCTTCCATTTAGAGGCACGCTACAAAGACGACATTCATATTTACACAGACGGGTCAACATCTAACAAGGGGTCAACGTCTGCTTACTCAATCCCGATGTTAGACACATTTAAATGTTTTTAGATTGTCCCATCATACATGCTCGACGTCAGCGGAGTTACATGCAATACTTTCAGCATCATCATTCATTGAAGCATTCGGTACACCATCAAACTGGGTTATTCTAACGGACTCAAAATCATTCCTAGAGTTATTACAGGGCATGCACCTTCGTACTTCCCAGGCGACCATTCTATATCGGGTGCAACTCACGTTAGCACAAGCTCACTCCACGGACATAACGTCAGGCTACAATGGATACCGAGCCACTGCCAAATAGCCGGAAATGAAGAGGCTGATCACCTGGCAGCTCAAGCTCACGATGGTGACGCAATGGAAGCGACATACTTTACCTCTGGAGATGCAAAATTCATCCTTCGTCACTTACGCCATCTACGTTGTCGGCAGTGCTGGCCGAAGGACACTTCAGCAGAGACTCTCCTACCATATATCGACCCGGATTTTGAGCTTCCACCGCACACCGGGATGAAAAAAAAATACGACGCATTAATCCATCGACTCAGACTTGAAGTGGCCTTTACTAACAGCTTTTTATTTCGAATTAAACGCCGAGATTCGCCAAGATGTGACTGTGGAGAACCATATCAGGATGTACAACATATCCTCCTTGACTGTGAACGCCTTCAACATGAAAGGCGCCGGATGGAGATTCGCCTTCAAATATTGGATGATAGACCCCTGTCTCTGACCAAGTTGTTGGGGCCCTGGCCGACGCGTAAAAAAACAAGACAGAGCAATGAATATCATTCATGACTTTCTGAAGGACACTAGAATCGTGTATGATTATTAAGTGCGAACGTGCGTCAATTTCAATGGGAATGACTATGTATGTAATTTAGCAAATCGGTGCACGACTCCCAAACGGTCGTCTTATTCGCAATTGTAATTAGATTTGTTTGTATTTTTTTCATGGTTTTGCTTTATGTGTTTTATCTTTATTCTTTTCCTTTTATGTTCTTCCTTTTATTCATATATATTTTCTCTCTCTTTCTCGTTATGGAGTAGCCGGTGTCATTTAAAAAATACCAACATCTCCGTAATAAAGAATTTATCTCTCTCTCTCCGCTCGGGACTTTGCCAGCACTGCACATATTTGTGAAATAAAGTTCCTTTCTCCCGCACGTAACTTTGTTTCGCGTCAGCGCGAGTGCAAACAAGACGCAACACGAGACAAAGTACTCGCGCAGCACTGCGGGGCCCTGCACCACTGTGAAAACTCCACTAGCGTTGCCGACATTTTGAACAGCGTCATTTGCGCGAGCTGCGAGGAGGCATACAGACAGAAACGATACGACGACAATGTCCCGAGTTTTCAACAGCAGTTTAGAACGCGCTATAGTCCAGAGTGAGAACGTCAGGGCGTGCCTTTCGAACGCGCAGCCTCCAGCACGCGCTCCATGCCTTCTGCCGTGCTTTAGCTACGCGCGCTTGAGGTGAGCAAGACGCCGAAGTGTTGTTGAAGCCTCTCCCTGCCGTTCTAACCTTGTCAGTGACTACAACAGCCACACTCAGCTGTGAGGGGTGCATTAAGAATGCCTATGACGTTAGACAAATGTAATTAAGGAAGCTCGTCGGGCTCAAAAAGTTCAACGCTTGGTGATCGACACGAAGGTCTGACAAGACTAATACGTATAAGAAAGACAACGCTGGCGCAAATCAGCTGGCGGGAACCATCATCCAAGTAGACAAGACCCACTGAGTGCCCGCAGATCCATGACAGAGGCGTCTGCTTAGACTATACCTCAAACACCAGCTACTTTTATGCTGTTCATGAGTCGAAATTATATGGGGCTGTGAACGGTTCTAAAATAAAGATTACACGGAATGTTGACGACTTTGTGCTATTGATCGTTTGGGCTTATTTTGTAGCAACTTTGTGCCCTTGTAGATGTTGTAGCGTGCATTTTATGATTCATATGCCGGGACAACCATGCTGGCGCAAGAGCTCGGGCTCGCCGCGCTCGAGCTACGAGCACCGACTGCGAGACTACGGGCGATTCTTTAAATTCAGTTTTTATCGTACCAGTCGGTCGGCCAATTCTAGTGTCTCAATTGGTGACGTGGACGTGATACGCCACTATGGCTCTCGAGAACACCGCTACCACAAATGTCGCCACCGTCACGTTTCGACTTCCGAAATTTTGGCCAGCGGACCCTCTGGTATGGTTCACGCAAGTTGAATCGCAGTTCGTCACCTCTCGGATCACCAGCCAAGCTACAAA